TAAAGAGAGGTATGGCTTGGGCTTTGCTCTCTTGTTGCTAGTTTTATGTGGACCAAAACCTTTGACATGGATAGGAAGGGTTTGATTTGTGGAGCTCAGTGTTAACATTAGAATTACCTGGGTGTTCTCTAGACACAAGGATCTGTCACACAAGTGTTCAGCTGATATAGGGGTGGATCCTTTTGCATAGTAGAAGCAACAGGAAACAGGAGATGCAGGATCTCCTGGATAAGGAACCCAGCAGTCCTGATTTAATTTTCAAAGAGCAAAATTCAGTCCCACCACTTGAGCTGTAGGATGATCTCTCAGACGTGGACTGTGCCTTATCCAGTCTTTAACTGCCAGTTTTTGCCCTGTTCTGCATTATTTAAAGGTAATATCGTAGTTAGAGTTGATAACTAGACTGTGAACTTCTGGTGAACATAATAAATCACTTCTAAACTTCTCTTTTAGGTGACATGAGTTACCGACACTTTAAACCTGAAATAAGAGTGACTTGTGTGCGATTCTCTCCTACAGGTGAGTGTCGACATTTAATTTAGGATTTTTGCATTCCTTATAAAACAAAAGAACAGAGCCTTGGAGGAGTAATGATAAAGTGCAAATGCCTTGGAGATCTTTGCAGATGTAACGTAGTGCTGCCAGGTTCATAGCCTGGTTTTCTGTGCAGTGAGTAATTAGGAAAGATAAGTGTATGTCACTTTGAGCTGATGTTTTTTACAAGCATTGTCATTGCTGACAGGTCCATCAAAGATGCATCTTTTAATCTTACCCCTTCCTTGCAAACAAATGAGTCACCTGTTCATCATTACTCTTCTGTTTTCATTCTAGAAAACTCAGCTTTGTTGTTAAATATTGTTACTTCTAGGACGAAGCTGGGCAGCCACCACCACAGAAGGTCTTCTGATCTATTCACTGGACTCTGGACTGATTTTTGATCCTTTTGACCTGGATATTGATGTCACACCCAGCAACATACACAAAACACTGCGCCAGAAGGAGTACACTATGGCCATCATCATGGCCTTCAAGCTGAATGAAAAGAAATTAATTCAGGAGGTCATAGAGGCTGTTCCTAGCAGTGAAGGTGAGTGGATCTTCCATGGAATTTGGCTGAGCTAGCTGTAAGCACAGATGTGTAAGCCAAAATGAGTTGAGGTGTAAAGGACTCTTGGACAGGGAAGTGTAATGTTCATACCTAAGGACTTCTTGCTGTAGCTGGAGACTAAAAGGGATGATCCAAATAGTAATTCAACTCTGTTGAAGTCTATGGGCTTTTTTTCTGTTTTTACACAGTTGATGTTATCTGCTCATCACTCCCAGACCTGTATGTGGAGAAATTATTGGAGTTCCTGGCCTCTGCATTTGAGACCTCGTGTCACTTAGAGTTCTATCTTATTTGGGCTCATAAGTTGCTCATGCTGCATGGACAGAAACTGAAAACAAGGTGAGATCTTGTAAAAAAGTCTAAATGCTCACAAGCATATTAAAATTAAAACCCGTCAGTTTTTACCCAACATCTACTGATGTTCTAGATAATACATATACAATAATTAGAATTATTTAATTTTTACAACTTCTTTACTAATGGTAAAAGTGATGATTTGAACTCAATCCTAAAGATCCTTTCCAACCTAAATGATTCTGTGATTCTAACAAGTGTGTATGGTAGAATTGGAATAAATTATTGGATTTGTGAAGAGATAATTACAAAAACATTTTCAAATCTGATAGATAAGACTTCGCATAGCTTCCTTAGCCTATAAATGCATAAAGATTTCAAGATGATAGTAGGTTTGACAATTGAGTTTTTTAAACAGTGATGCATCTTAAATGTCACTGAAAGGTAATTTGCAGGTACTGACTGTATTTATACATGTATATAAGCTTGTGATTATAACATGAACTCTTAGCTGTTAGTACTCACCTTTTCCTGTATAGTTCTCTACCACTACTTGGGCCTGGGCTGTGAATTATATTTAGCCCACCTATAGTATAGAATTTGTAGGCATTTAGGAAAAAAATAAGGCAAATTTATGAATTTAAAACAGGCTAAGTGAGAGATAATATGAGAAGGAGTCCTGCAGGTTAAACACCAGTGCATTGTGTAACTCTTTCCTTGCTTCAACATTGGTATTAATGTTTTAGTTACTGGAATGACTGGAAGAAAGTTTCTCCTTTTGTTGCTGTTCAAGTAGAAGAGGATGATTTAAAACAAACTCTTCCTTGTACAGAAAGTATTGTAGTACTGGGAAGGAACTCTCGTTTCTACCAGCAAGCAGAATTAGTTCTTCAAGCCACAGTTTGACATTAGAAAAAGATATTTCTGACATTACTTGTATCGAGTATTACTTGTATTATTACATTATATTACTAGTGTTGAGTACTCTGACCTTATTGAGGGAAGAGTCAAAAGGGTAGAGCTTTTATTTATTTAGTATATCTTTAAAAGTTTGCTTTGAAAAGTTAACATGTATGCTTGTTAAAATCTTGAGACTGTAGAAAGGATTTCTATATGTAAAAATGAATTGCACTGCAAATGGTGTGTTTTCTTCATTCCAGGTCAGTGAAGCTGCTCCCTATGATTCAGTTCCTCCAGAAAAGCATCCAGCGTCATTTCGAAGATGTTTCAAAACTGTACGTGTTGTTACATTTAAACTTTTAAATCAAAAACTTGGAGTAATTTGGGGGATGGTAGCATGTTATTAGAACCAGAGAATTAGAGGCAGTCTTCTTCTAGAGGTGGTTTTTTTTTGGAGGAGAATGCAATCTTGTTTCTGACATGTTCCTGTTTATTTTTACAGCTGTGAATGGAACATCTACAACATCAAATACGCGCTGGCCATTTCACAACAGCGGGGCATGAAACGTCAGGCTGAAGAAACATCAGTAGATGAAGAAGAGTTGGATTCTGACAGTGATTATCTTATGCAAGAGGTTCATAAAGACAAATTGAGTTCCTAGTTACTCTGCATGAGAGGGAGAAAACCTCAAGGCAGTATTTTATGCAGTGGTATTCACTGAGAAGGAGTGGCCCTCATAGTGGCATCAATTAGCTCTTCCCAACAATGTGGATGGAGTTACATGTGAGTTAGGGGGGGAAATGTAGGATAGGCAAAGTGCCATCCGTGGCATAAATCATGTACCCCTTGGCTGTGAATTCGGCAGCATTGATTTCTTGTTGATTTCTTTTTTTTTTAATAATTTCTGATTTCAAGCAAGGAAAAAAAAGTGTTCTTAGTGAAGTTAAGAGTATGGCTGGAAGAAGTTTATTAAAAATGCTTTGTACATTAAGTATTGTGAGTTTTGTAATGCAGTCTTGTCATACATTGGACTATTTTTTTTTTATCCTTTATAAAAAGCAGTCTTGGAGGTCTATCTGTTGCTCTCAAGTTGTTTTAAATGTTGTTTTACTTGGCTTTAATATTTACATATTTCTGGAACAGTTTTCTTAGTTCTCTAACTTCCAAACCTGATGAAGGTTCAGTAATGAGGATAAATGTTACATCCATAGCAATGACTATGAGAGAATATTTACCGTGATGTACAAATCTTGTAGAGGTTTAATTACGAACCTTGAGATACTGTACTAAAAATTTGTTTGGACATTGCCAACTCAATAATGTAATTTAAATTTTAAGAGAATGTGTTACAAATGTGGTTTGTTTGGTTTTTTTTCAAATGAGAACTTTTTCTTGTCCTGTTGGGTTTTTTTTATGTTGTTTATTAGCACATTAAAATCTGGAATTTTGATTTCCTTGGTTTTTTTGTGACTTGGTGGGAGAATTGCCTAATAACAACAGTGAGATCCTGAATAACAAAGAACTGTATCTGTGCTTGTAATACTTTCAACTCACGTGTTGAAATGACTTCGTTAATTAAGTGACTGCAAGTATTAACAATGATCCGAAATTGCTTTTTTTCCCTGCCAGCATATTCTGTTCTCTTGGATTTATTTTCTGGTCACTTCCCACTTCTGGAGTAGAGGAGAGGTAATTAAAACTGCTGAAGAGAAAAATGAGTCCAAAATATACAGCGAACACATACAGTCAATTTGTAGAATTTCAGCGTATAAATTAAAGATACACTTGCTACTTAAATAAGACATAGCAAAGTGATTTGTTTTTCTTAGAGTAGAATATTCTTTTAGGTAATCATAACAAATTTTATGATGCACAGGAAAGCAAATACAATTTTCCCTTGTGCCCTTCCATAGTCATAGGTAGAATAATGAAAACTCAAGTATGAGGTTTTAAATTTGGGGGGTCCAAAGTTTGGCTTGATCCTTGTGCTTGTTGGTGTGGTTTGTGAGCCTGACAGCCTCGGGGTTGGCTTGAGCCAGGCTTGGAAGCAGCAACCTTTCCTTGCCTTCGTCCTGGGCAGGTGGAGACCATACCTGTAGACTTGCACCTTGACATCAGATACAGATGTCAGTGTGTATTTCAGCAGGACTGTCTTTCTTATACATCTCACAGAATGAAATAGGTTGGAAAAGACCTCCAAGATCATCGAGTCCAACCTATGACCGATCCTTGTCACCCAGACCATGCACGAAGTGCCACGTCCAAAAGCACCTCCAGGGATGGTGAATCCACCACCCCCCCCGGGCAGCCCATTCCAACGCTTGATAACGCCTTCAGTGAGGAAATTTCTCATGATGTCCCTAGTTTGGTTTCCTTAATAAAGAAGGAAAAAGTAAAAACCAAATGAGAAGGGTAAAAGAAACACTAAAACCCAGTATTTCACAGGGTCCCAGAGAGGCAGCAATGTGGCTGTCCCTGTGTTTTGTTTACCCCATTTTCATTAACAGCTCTGGCCTAGGCGCCTCTTGCTGCAAGGCTTGTGTTCAAAACAAGTCCCGAGGGCTTATTTCCATGGGTGGGTTTTTTTTTTACAGTTATTCCCAGTAAAGGAGGCTCGGGAGGGGAACAAGGGCCCTCAGGGGCCCCTCCGCGCCTCCAGGGGGCGCCGCCAAGGGCGCGGCGGCCTCGGAGCGCGGCCCTTCCGCGCCCGCCTCCTCCTGACCTGCTCCCCGTTCCGGCTCCCGGTTCCTCCGCTCCCTTCTCCCGCCGCCTGGCCATGCTGACCTCCCGCGGCCCGGCCCTGTGCACCGCTCTGCGGCGGGCGGCGGGACCCGCCGGCCTCGCCTCCTTCCATTGCTCCGCCCGGCACCGCCGCTCCGCCCGCGTCGCTGTGGTGAGTTAATGGAGGAGCCGCGGGGGCCGCGCTGAGGGGAAGCGCGTTGGTTTATTTTTCACCCTCTGCAGGGTGGGGAGTCTCTCCGGCGGTGGGGCGGGTGCAAGGAAGGGGCCGGGAAAGGCTCACCCGGTGGCTGCGGCAGCTGGAAGCCCTCGGGAGAGGCTGAATTCGAGAAGAGAAACCCGCCTGGAGCTGAGAAACTTGGAGGAAGACAGAGCAGGAGTGGGGAACGCGTAAAAATTGACGTCTGTGGAGTTGTTGTTGGCCTGGAGTTGGTTTATAAAGAATCACAGAGAGGTTGGAAGGGACCACGGTGGGTCATCTGGTCCCACCTCCCTGCTCGAGGAGGGCTATCTGAGAGGATTGTGTCCAGACGGTTCTGGAATATCTCCAGTGAGGGAGACTCCACACCCTCTCTGGTCTCTGTTCAGTGCTCGGTCATTGCACAGGAAAGAAGTTCTTCCTCATGTCCAAGTGGAACTTCCTGGGCATCAGTTCCTGCCCGTTCCTCTTGTGCCATTGCTGGGCCCCCCCCCGAGCAGAGCCTGGTCCATCCTCTGCCCCCTCCCTGCAGACCCCACAGACCTGGGGGAGGTCCCTTCTCAGTGTCTCTTCTCGAGGCTGAACAGCCCCAGCTCCCTCAGCCTTTATTCATAAGAAAGGTGCTCCAGTCCCTCAGTCATCCTCGTTTCCCTCTGCTGGACCTGCTTTGGCAACTCCGTGTTTCTCTTGTGCTAAGGAGCCCAGGAGAGCTTGAAATAGTTTATGATGTGACTGGGGGAGGTCCTGAGTGTGCACAGGAAAATATTTAGGCTGGGTTGTGCTCTTCTGCAGGAAGGTAGAGCATGTCACAGATACAAAAGAAAGCCAGGAGATGGAGGAAAAAAGAAAGAAGAAAGCCAGGAGATGCCAAAGGAAAATCAAGGCTGTAGGTAGTGTCCCATATGGACACACAGTTTTGGAGCTCAGTGAACAGCCCTTGAAGCTTGAGCTTTGTGTAGTCTAGATGGCTTTAAACATAAAGAGATAAGAAGGCATTACCTGCACAAAGAAATCTGTTAGGGGCAGAGTTGGCTCTGGAATGGGCAGAATGCTGGTCCAAATGGATAACAGGTAACCCACCAGCAATGCTGTCATTTTAGCAAGTCACAGCTTTTTAAATAGAGAGAGGAAAACAAATGTTATTTTTAAGATTTAGTGACATAAATTTCTGACTAAGGTAGGAAACAGATTTGGCAACAAGAAAGTACTGAAATAACAGAAGAGGACAGTATTTTAGTACTTCGGTTTCAGTGAGTTTCAACATTTAAAAAGTGTTGCTTATGAAAGATAATTACAGCGCAGTTGCATATCTGTTTTTCACTCTAAAATAAATGAAAGATAAAAAGGTTGTGAAGTCAAAGGCAGCTCTTAAATATCAGAACAGGATTAACATGGGCAGAAGAACATTCATGGATTTTGCTCATTTGGTGAAGTGGTGGTGGCAAGTCATGCCCCTGAGAGCAGAGAACTGGGTATCAGGGCCTGAAAGCCCCTTCAAGTGTAACATTTTTAACATTTCTAACTAACACAGTTTCAGTTCTGAGTTTCTGTTCATGTGTCTGTGATTAAAAACTTTTGAGCTTCAAAAAACTGAGGTAAAACCAGGAGGGAAGAGAGTAAAGTGAAAAAGAGGAAAAAAAAAAAAGAGGAAAGGAAATTGACTTCCCAACTGGATTTTTTTCTTTCAAAACAAACAGCCAAACAAAAAAAACCCCCAAGAGTTCATCAATATACTTTCAGGAACTACATAATCCTTTGGATTTTTTTGGTTTTATTTTGTTATTATAATGGTTTTTCCCCCTGTTTTTTTAAAAATGTTTTTTCTCTTTCTACTTTGTCAGAGACTCTCCACTCACACAATGGTAGATGATTGTTTGTGCTTTTTATCTTCCAGTGTGTATAAACAAATTTAAGGTATTACCAATATTATTAAGGAAAAGCATGGCTAATACAGCATAATTGCACTATTGCATTGAAAGTGAATTAGCTGTTGATCTCTGATGCAGATCCTCAGACAAAATACAGCAGCAGGTAAAGTAGTTTATGCTCAGTGCCACCTCAAAGTGCACTTTTATCCCACTTCTGATTGATGAGCATCTGGATGAGAAGGTGTTTCACATGGATGTGGACACTTCATTGAAAAGATGTATGGCACTGAGAACAACCCACTGTGTGCACAGTAAAAACATACCTAAGGAGAACACGTCAGTTTATTAACTGGGGAATAAATTTATAAGCCAGGAAATAAACACTGGTTATTTCTGACCCCTGTGATGGGTTGCTATAAATAGGAAATGCCAGTTCTGCAGTGTGTCAGAGCTTGTTGCCAAGTTGTTCTTTTGAGGGATGAAGGGAGGTTGGAGGTTTTTTGTTGTTTGTTGATCCTTTTTGTTTGTTTGTTTTCATCTTACCTTGTGAAAGATCCTGTAGGAAGTTTTGTGTCACCTGAAATACTCTCTTGATTTTCTCACTGCAGGTCCTGTCTGGTTGTGGCGTCTACGATGGCACAGAAATCCACGAGGCTTCAGCGTAAGTTGCTTTATGAGATAGGCTCCAAAATAGTCTCTGTTACACTGCAGCAGTCTGTTTAATTTAGTTTTGCTGTCTCTGGCCATCAAAATTACCCTGAAAGATGTATGATGAAGCTTCACAGTTTTCTCACAGTGAGCTCAGGCTGTGTTCTTACACTACTCAGTGATTGTCCAAAGATGCAGCACAATGTGTGTGATGCCAGTGCAAAGAGTTTGAGAGTATTTTCTTCAGAAGCAGAAATTCAGAGTTCCAGAATCAATCTCAAGAGAATTAAGTACAGACTTAATTTCGTAATCACTTTGAGTTTCTGTTCCTGTTACTACTTTTTGTTGAATTGTTAATACTTAAGTTGAATTATTAACTCCTACTGTGAATTAATAAGAGATGTTTCATCTAGGCCTAGGTTAAATGTACACATGGGTGTGTTAAATGTGGGACTCTTCCATAACACCTTGGGAATTGGAGAAAGGAAGTTGCAATTTTTCCTGGTTGCCTTCTTAGAAGCACCAAACAAAATTACTTATCTCCAGATTACCTGACCCTGCCTCCCAACTGCCTTTGTGTTCTGCTCTGCACTGTGATGTTCCATACAGGGATTTTGCTGCTATGTGCTCAGTATGCTTTGGTAGGATGTGTCTTTTTTTCCTCTTCTTTCAAAATCAGGTGGTAGAATATTGGTAGCAAGACTTAGGGGCCAAGTAAAGCCTCTCTTTTAAGATTTTCTGTGTGTTTTATCTCCTTTTTTGTAGTGTGCTGGTGCACCTTAGTCGTGGGGGAGCTGAGGTTCACATGTATGCTCCAGATGTTCCTCAGATGCATGTCATCGACCACAGTAAAGGGCAGCCAGCTGAAGCTGAGTCAAGGTAAGCCTGTGTTTCATGTGTTTTCCATGACTGCTGAGCCTCAGTCTCTTGGTCTTCAGACATAGCAGCCTCTAACAGAACCTGTAGCACTTTGCTGAAGCCTTTGGTAGCTTTATGCCATCTGGTGTTCTTTTTGGAGAGAAAATATTAAATGAGTTTTCTGGACTTTATTATATACAGTCTCAATGCCTGTGTTTTCCAGTAGTAGTATTTTAGAAGTATCAGTAACTTCAATTATTAAATACCACTGTTCTTCTTGCTTCCTCCCTTCCTCCTCATCCTCTGACAAAACTTTATTCATGCTATTCTGTGTGCAGATTCTTAGTTTATCTCATTGTTTTATTTCTGATTCTTCAAGGAATGTTTTAGTGGAGTCTGCAAGAATAGCTCGTGGTAAAATTGCAAGCCTGGCTAAGCTGACCACAGCAGACCATGATGCTGTGATATTCCCTGGTGGATTTGGAGCTGCCAAAAACTTGTGAGTGCCAACTAAGCATTAGACTCCTCAACTAAATATTGCTAATTAACTTTTGGTAATGAGCCTGGAGAAGAGAAGGCTTTGGGGTGACCTAATTGCAGCCTTCCAGTGCCTGAAGGGAGCCTACAGGGAAGATGGAGAAGGACTTTTTACAAGGGCCTGGAGTGGCAGGACAAGGGCAAATGGCTTCATATTAGGAAATATTTCTTTACTATGAGGGTGGTGAGGCACTGGAACAGGTTGTCCACAGAAACTGTGGATGCCCCATCCCTGGAAGTGTTCAAGGCCAGGTTGGATGGGGCTCTGAGCAACCTGGGATAGTGAAAGGTGTCCCTGCCCATGGCAGAGGAATTGAAACTGGATGATATTTAAGGTCCCTTGCAACCCAAACCATTCTGTGATTCTGCGAACTGTGATTCACACAGTAAAATCAGGAAGCAATAAATGGCCTTATTTACTACATATGTAACTCCTACTTCAAAAGCAAAACTCCTTTTGAATTCTTGTAATTGTCTTGTTTTATAATTTCTTAACAATGATGGTGAGAATTCTGGAGTTTATGTATTTTCCTACACCTAGAGGTGTTTCATTTTGGGACTGAGGGAAATGAAGGTAGAACTTCAATAGTTTCAGGTGTTTGTAGTGTTGTTATTCTGTTTCTTCCTCTCTGCCTACCAAAAAAATCCCCCCTTGCATTAGTAATGATAACATAATATCTAGTTCAAAAAACCTACCTTTTTTTAGCTTTGAGAAACATGAATGTTATTTCCCTTTTCTTCTTTACGTTTTTTTCTTCTTTGAAAAGATTGCTGTTCCACTTCTCGGTAATCCTAGAGAGCTGATTTCATAATTCTTGTTTCTAGATGTTTATATCAAGTAAGGAACTTTTTGACAAACCGAAGCCTTGGAAGTGAAGCATTTTGGCTAAAGCATTGATGGTCAACTAGAGACTTTTTCAACCACCTTTTAGAAGCTGTTAAGTTTGTGATGACCCTTAGGAGCCAGTCTCAGGGCAGATACCTCTGTAGGTTTATACCGAGTTATGTATAAAGTTTCTTCTTGTGACAGATCTACCTTTGCTGTTGATGGGAAAGATTGCAAGGTGAACAGAGAAGTTGAACGAGTCTTGAAGGACTTCCACAAAGCAGGCAAACCTATTGGGTATGTATGTTTTTCAAGGTGTGTGTGTGTGTGTGTGCAGGTGTTTGTCAAAGAAGCAGCTAAGAAAATTCTGAGTGGAAGTTGCCTTGTGATGTCTCTCAGATGTGTAAGGCTGTGTCCATTTGAATCTTTTCAGTTATTAGCAAGTTTTGAAAGAGTGTAGAATTACAATTCCTTCTGTTGCAGCCTGTGCTGCATTTCCCCAGTGTTGGCAGCAAAGGTTCTCTCTGGTGCTGAAGTAACTGTGGGCCACGAAGAAGAGGAAGGTGGCAAGTGGCCTTATGCTGGGACTGCAGGAGCCATCAAAGAGCTGGGAGCAAAACACTGTGTGAAAGAAGTAACTATATCCTTTCCTGATAATTTTCCTGTTGAGAGACAGTTTGTAAATGTGTCATTAAAGGAATGAATATATGTAGGATCTGGGCTTTTCCACTTAGAGTTTCATGGGAATATTTAGTGTAAAGCAGATAGCATGTGATCCAGTGCAGGATTAGAAACAGTGTCTTCTGTGCACAGCTGTGTAACTGCACAGCTGTGAGTCAGGGTGTCATTCTCAGTTGTTGCCTTGGAACTCCCTTGGACACCTGGAAATGCAGTAAATACTGAGTGAATCTGCACATAAAACTTGCACGAGTTACAACTGGTCGGTTCTCTTTGAGATCTTTGTTCTTTTCCTGAAGGCTAGTTCTGCAATCAGACTGTATTCAGAGACATCTTATCACAGTCAGTGAATTTTGTAGGTTTCTTGTGTTTCCACAGATTTCTCTTGTGGTGTTTGTATTTCTGGCAAAAATAGCTTCTACTGTCTTGGATTATAGGCTGCAGCTGTCTTTGCAGCTGAGTGGTGTAATGTATTTGGAGGTGCTTTTTTATAGGATAGTGGAGTTGTGAGGTTTTGTCAGCACTGCTTCATTTTACAGACACAAAATGTCTGTGTTTTCCTTAACTCCCTTTTACGAAGCTCACGTGGATACAAAAAACAAGGTGGTGACTACCCCAGCATTTATGTGTGAAACAGAATTGCACAATATCTTCGATGGCATTGGGGCAATGGTGAAGAATGTGCTAAAACTAACTGGCAAATAAAAAAAAAACAACAACAACACCAGAAATGTTTAAATTTAGGGCGTAGTATCAAATATATCATGGACCAATGGAAACGTTTTCACCTGCTTGACCTATTCACACTCTAGTGAATGCTGATACCAAGCTGATTGATTCCCAGCTGCAGGAATTTCCATGCCTTTCTGAGGGAGAGGCCTTACAGAGGACAAGGAGCCTGGCCTGAGACACAGAGCATTTTTTTTCACCTTTTCCAGCTGGAGAGAGTGGTGTGGGTGTGTTCTGGAACAAGTCCTCTCAATGCACCAGTGTCAAGCCGGTTCTAATGGGGCAAAAAGAGACTTGGAGGCCCTTTCAGAAGCTGAGGGCAGATGTTTTGTAGGGATTTGGCATTTGTAGTGGATTGAAGAATGGGAATAGAGAGGAATGAGTGCATGGTTCAAGGTTTATATGCTCAGGCCTGTGTCTGTGAACTACAAGCCAGGATCAGCTGTAGAGGGAATAGACATCTTCCACGTCTTCATTTAGCTTGGTATTAATTAAAAAATTATATATTTTTTTTGGATTTCAAAGAATCCCATTTTCACAAAGCTATTCTGAATATCAGTCAGCAGCAGGACACAACTGCCACAAGAGTAGCACTTTGAAAAATTCATCCATTGGCCCATTATAGTTTTAAAAGGTCTTGAAATGAAGGAGAAGATATCCGCTGATGTGACGCACAACTTTTAAGGACAGTATCCATGTTAAAGCAGTTCTATGACTAGTAGTGAATGGAAAAAGCAGCCTCAAATTATCCTAACTTCCCCTGCTTTAGGGTAATAAAGCTTTCTCCAAAGAAGTACTATTGAATGTCTGGAATAATGATGTATAAATAAATTAATTTCTGCCTTTATGTCATCCTTGTCGCTTCACTTTTGTTTGACTGGTGCATTTTAGCAGTTTTTCTGCATTTCAGTTCACTTCTTTGGTACATTTTTTCCATATAGAATCCAACAGAATCTGTGAAATTACATTATGAAATGCCAAAGAGAAGGAATGAAGTTCAGGTATGAATGTTGGGCATGCTCAGCTTGCTCAGTCAGTGTTCATGGAATGAGCATTTTTTTGCTTCTGGAGCCTCTAATTTTTTGTCACTAAAAAAACCCCACATTTGGATTTAGATGATCTGAATTTTCTTCTTCAAAGCTGGCAGTGTTTTCTTGGGGGATTTCCTAGAGATTCCCTGTGCAGATCACCACATCCAGTGAGGAATCACGCACAGAAACCAAGTCATCATGGTAGCAGGCATGGTTCATCAAGTGGATTTTGGACATTCTCTGAAATCTTTTTTGCTTATCCATCAAATTCTTCATGAAATTATCAAGTTGGTAAGAAACAGAATTTAAAACACTGCCAATATATAATTGAGTGCAAAAACTTTCCTCTGAGTTTTGCTTGTACAAAGTGGATGTTTTTAGTATCAATTTTATACACAGAGGCTTAGCAGAATATGGGAGGTCATTGTTCATATAAAATGTAACAAATCTTTAAAGTGCATGTCTTTCCTACACCAGCAGGAGTTTTAAAAGAAATTTGGTAACATAAGAAAGTATCACAAAACAGAAATGGTATTGAAATCCCCAGGGCAGAGAGAGAACAGCTGCTGCCTGTGTTAAAAGTACCTTCCTTTGCTTCAAGAGTGATCTAAATTGAGCTCAACTCTTCCTCTGAGTTAAATCTTCCCATTAACTCCCTCGCCACAGCAGGGTTATGTGTATGAATTTAGGGTTTCTCCTATGGTAAGTGCAGCTGTGGTGACACAAAGCTTTCTTAGATTCTGAATCTTGGATTCAGGTGCCCTGAGAAATGATGATTTTTCAAAACCATTGCTGTTACCATGCAGTGACCAGCTGTTGCATGTTGGTGGATCATCCAGATGGGGCCTCTTTACAGTCCTCTGACATTCTTCCTTGAATCCAGACACCCAAGCCATGAAGATGCCAATAATCCTCTGTATACCTTCATGTTCATCCCTGACTTGGTGACTTCCAGGCTGGATTGTCACAGTAGCATATGCTGACAATCAAGTGTGCAAATTGAACAGCTCACCTAATGTGAGCTCACTGCTAAACAACAGCAACACTCTCAAATGATGGCCTCAGACCAGTGACTGAGGGCTGGGGCTGTGAGTTGTAAGAAGAGTTACTAAGGATCCAGCTCCTCCTCAGGGCCTGAAACATCTTTCAAGGTAGTTACAAAAAGTGAGCTACCCACACTGTTGTCAGTGCTAGAAGCTTGGGCATTTAGTGGGCATGGGACAAACAAATGTGGACTGGGGAAATCAAGGACAAAGTTTTATTTTCAGATATACTCACCTTTTAGACCTTCTTTTTACCTTTATTTAATTTCTCTGAATTTAGAGACAATGGTTTTTTAAGGGAGAAAGAATCACATAGCAGAATTGCCTTTCATTTTCTCATTCTCTCTAATTTCAGAGTAATATCTGATTACCAACCTTTGGTACACACATTTTTCAAGGTATTTTCTTTTTGTTTTATTGATAGAAGACTGTCTTACTTCAGCAGAAGAGATAGGATTGTCATCTTGGCTTTCAGCCAGTGTAAATTTGGAGGGAAATTCCATGTGTGTTTTGAGAATTATTAATAGAGACGTTTGCTTGCCAAGCTGGGTTTTTCCTTTCCTTTTCCTCCAAAAGGGCTATTAGGAGCTGATGAGGGGTTTACTACTTTGAGCCAAGTGGATAGAAGTTTATGATTAATATGTTCTGTTAAATGCCATCAGAAATAAGAAGTGAAAGAGGCTTCTCCAGGCCTCCACGAGGAGGCACAGAGCACCTGGCTTATGGATTCCTGACATTTCTTATCTTCAGGAAGCATTTAAGAGCTTTGTCCTGCTGAAAGGCAGTTGTAATAAATGTGTTCCTGCTTGTGTTGCGTTTCTAGAGCTGTGATGGGGTTAACTTCGGGGGTTTGGGAGGAGTTGTGTTTCTTCCTGCCCCTTTTTGCCTCCTTTGTGGTTCCACACAAACCCAGTTTTATGAAATGTTGCTCTGTGGGTTGTTGCAAGTGCTCAAATCTGACAGCAGTGCTTTTTTCTTCTAAAAGCAGAAATAAGGGTTGGGGATTGAAAAGCCCTTTTCGTTTTTACCTTTCGGTTTATGGCTTCAACAGAGACACTTTTTTCTGGGAATAAAAAGCCAGCAGAGGGCACTTGGTGAACAATGTTCTGTGCAGGGTTTCACTTACCCAGGCACAATATTCCAGCTGGAAAGTAGGACAGCTCTGTATGACGGTTTTCTTGACATTTTGGATGCCTAGAGAGAATAAAACAAATATTGCTTCCTACTGGTTTAACAAAAATAAATAGGGCATCTTATTCCATTGCAATGAATGCATTTGTCACACTGTCTTGTTAAGACATTTCTTCAGCACAGTTAACTTTTATTTATCCCCCTGAAAGTATAATAGCAAATATACATAGATTAAGCTCTAAATCCTTCCTGTGATATCTATAACTGAAAAAATGAGGAGCAGTGTAGTATAAAGTCATAAAAGTACACAGTGGGCTTTGTTTTGTTTTGTTTTGTTTTAATGGGGGTGCTTTGGAGGGGGTTGTTTTGTTACTTGTTTGTTTTTTAAATACTAGTGCTGTTACAGCCAAGATGACCTATTCCCAAGGTTTGTAGGGAGGGACTTTTATCAGGCCAAGAAATACCCCTTGAAGGAAACACACTGTTTCCTGAAGCATCTGTGTGTTTCCAAGCCAGCAGTATCTTTTATGTATATGTGCTTTTTTTTTTCAGAGTGGGAGCTTAGACAATCCTCCATCTGCAAATAATTGAGCATTGCCTGCATTCCAGGGCTTGAGCCTTTTGTTTGAGCTGATTTTCTTCCTCCTTTCTGTGGCTCGAAGTGGGTGAGGGAAAGCTTGCATGTGGTATGGGTCAGCCTTAGCCCTCAAAAGAATTAAGGAGCTGATATTTGGTTGTTTTGGTTGTTTGGGTGATTTCAGTGATATTAACATCTCTGCAGAAAGAGAGAGAGAGGGGAAGAGAAGGGGCTAAACTTGGACTATCCCAGAAGTTGAAACAGAAGTTGCAGCAAGGATTGCAGCACCCAGAGACACATGATTTCATGATGCATATTTAAAATAATCACCTTCCTTGCTTGTTTTCAGTATTTTTTAGTACTCTGCTCAACTGCTGAGTGTCATACTATGGGAATGACTGTCCTCAGGCTTAGCTGACTTAATGGTGAATAGTCTAGTGAGAGGTGTCCCTACCCATGGCAGAGGGTTTGGAACTAGATGATCTTAAAGGTCACTTCCAACCCTTAACATTCTATGATTCTGTATCAAGTATGTCCACACTTATTTCTTGCTGGTGTTCTTTGTGAGCCATTTCCATACATCATATTGAACGAAAGGGAGCTCACAGAGGAAAACACTAACCAGTTAATCTGGCCTCACTATAAACTTAGATAAAGCACAAGATGAGCAGACTAACTCCTTTTTGTCTCTTACCAGGGTCCCTTTCAAACATGAAAAAATGAGCTCACTTTTACAGCCATTCTTTGACAAGAATAATGTACAAGGATATCTCAAAAATTTCTTTACTGTAGCAGATTATCAGCCTTATGCTCTTGCCATATGGAATACGTAGGTGTGGGCCACCAAGGTACTAGAAGTGGGAGAAGTGGAGATTCCTCCTCCTTAAATGTGTGAATTGTTATTGTACTCATTAGTTTTCAAAGCTGTCCCTCTTGTTCACAATGAAACTGGAAAAAAACACAAGAAGTATGTGCTGCCCATGTTCTGCATGTTGAGTGAACTTTCAAGACAGACACTTGCTGTGTCACCACCCAGAGAAGGAAGGACAAGTCAAGGTCTGCCAGTCATTCAAAACTTCTCCCAGGAAATCTGAAAGACGGTCATACATAACCCCTGGGAATGGCCTTAACTGCAGTTCTGGGAAAATACAATAAACAGGGATGTTAAAATGTCCCAAGTGCTGCTGCAAATCTGAGTAATAAACAGTAGAGTTGTAAACAACATGTAGAGGG